AAAAAAAAAAAAAAAAAAAAAGAAAAGTCACTCACAAAATCACTCTCCCCTTCGAAACTAAAATAAAACGAAAAAAAAAAATCAACCGGAGAATCTTTTTCTAAAAAAGAAATATCATAAGAGAGGAAAAAAGATAAACGAAATTATTAAAAAAAAGAAAAAAAATATTCATCTCACCTATCTCTCTTTCTCTTTCTCTCTCTCCAAAAATATCCCATAAAATTGAAAAATCCTGGTCGCGAAGGCGGCACAACATTTTCAAGGAGCACCAAGATCGAAAGTGATCGCGGCGAAAGAAGCGAGTGATCCGTTGGATCGCCGGGAGGAAAAACTTGGAGGGGGGGGAGTAGGGGCACGTAGGACGAAGTGGAGGATCCTCACGCGTGGACGATCGACCGGGAACTGAAAAGGCAGAGGGTTCGAAGGACTGTCATGCGCCCCTGATTCCGTTTCGGCCGCTGTTCACAGACTCCACCCACCTTCATTCATTCACGAACGGAATTACCCAGCCGCTGCTTTTCATTATTCCACGGGTCTTATACCGTGCAGCTTTGGATCGTCACCCGAACCGTGGCCCCGGGAAAAGGGAAAGTTGCGCGGGCTGTTCGAGTTGCGCGCGACCGGTGGTCGATCGGGGGAGGGAGGGAGGAGGCAGGAACCACGTTTCCGGCCAGCTCCAAATTCTCGAAATTCTCGAAATCTACGAAATTTTGTCGTTTCGACTCGAGTTCTTCGGATTTTTGCGATTTCTTTAGATATCGCCTTTATTTCGAGTATTTTTATTCGATCGTTTGAAATTCCTGCCCGATTCGAGAAACATGTACGATCAAGAACGATCGAGCTATAAATATAAATCAAACTCCACGCTCTACGGATAATAAAAAATTTCCCAAGGAATCTCGTTCTCAGTATCGAACTATCTGATTAAACGTCTGAGAATTTTCGTTAAATTTGTAAAAAACATTCGAAAGTTGGAGGATAAGTAATTATAGTGGATGAAGAGAACGAAGACACGAAGGAAAGGAAAATGGAGAAAAAGGAGGAGGAAAAAGGAATATTTGGTATAGGTTTAGCAGGGCAGGAAGAGAAGCGGAGGAAATCGGAAAGAGAAGGTGGTGGCCGCACGTGAAAAGCTCCTTGTTGCCCCGTGTCCGGGGAAGGTAGCTGCACCTGGCGTGGCAGCTGTTGGAAACCGTCCGTTACCTGGTTCGTCAGCACCTGTTTGGATTGCGTGCCGCGTGGACCTTCGAGAACTGCCCATAGCAACACATGGCGGTCAGAGAGCACACGGGAAAACTTGAAGCCCGACTATCGGCCAACTATTCGTTTTCGTATATTCCCTATATCTCTCGTGTACAGGGTACGTGAAATTGTGTATTTGACGCGATTATGAATTATTATATATCGATCAGCTGTGCGATTATCGAGAGAGAGAGGGAGAGAAAGAGAGAAGAGAAAACGGTTGAATATTGTGCCAGAGGGGAGATTACAATTTTTAAAACATCGAGATGCGAAGAAAAAGAAAAAGTTTGTCGATCTATCTATGTGCACAGAATTAATTCAATTTCCATTTTTGGTTATAAAGTTTATCGATGAAACAATATCTGTATCGTAGCTCAAAAGTATCCATTTTTTTTATTCTGTAATTCGAGTTTTGTAAAAAAAAAAAAAAAAAAAAAATTTATTTCATTATTGTCATTATCTTTTGTATAATTGTGAACATAATAAAATGTTATAGTACAATAAAATTTATTTTTATGCGTGAAAATTATATTTTATGTGTAAATGAAAACGCAATAAAAATAATATACTCAATGGAATAATTTCGTGGTTTAGAAGATAGATCTTGTGTAAGTGTTTAAAAGAAACATAAAAAGAAATTACCACAAAAAACAATAACAAAATTGATCAAAAAATTATTGTTAATGCACTATTAATGCACATTTATAAGCACTAATATAAGGGGAGTCAAAAATAACTATTTATATTTAATTATAATACAACAAATAGCCAACAAATAATGTAAATAAATAATTTTTAAATGTAAAACGTTATCCTTATGGAAAAATTAATTTCACTTACGATATTAAATGTTTAAGTAACATTTATTATAAAGTAATATTACATTTCCGGATACTTTTGACGTGTATATCAAATAGCAAAATTTTTTACTGAAATAATTTAAACTATCAAGAGAGACGAAACGAGAATATATATTAACGAATTTTATCTCTAACTTTATAAAAGATCGCACCTTCGACCTTTTCGAGACGCGTTCTTCAAGAAGAAGAAAAATCGACTAATCGATGGGGATAATACGCGTAGATACAAGCGATGGATAATAATAAAGGCATCGCGTGTGCGTAATTATCTAGCG